GGCTGAAAGCCCTATGAAGCGGTATATAAGTCTAACTGCTATTCCTATTGCTATTGCTATAAGTGCTATTGCTATTGTTATATATTCTGTGCTTTTGTGTTTTTAGCATCATACTTTAAGAAACTGCAATATTTCTGAATCAGTATTTTCCCCAAAGGGGAAAAAAACGTCTTCAGCATCTCACATAATTCTAGGCAAGTATGAAAGTATATGGTATGAGAAATTTCAGATATGCTCAGTAGATGGAGTAAATTAGTTATTATTTATACAGCACTCCTTGCCCTAAATTGATCTCCAGGAATAGTACAATTAAATTAAATTAAAATAGACTAATCACACTTTTCTAGAAAACATTGCTAAGGGGATGATGAGGGGAACCCAAGATTAGGATTGGGTTTAATTTTCGATGAACACATATAATGAACAAAGTTACCACTTGAGTGACTTGAGTAGCACTTATTTTAATTTGGAACTGCAATTTGCAATACATCCATACACACACACACACACACACACACAGCTGAGGGAAATAAAGGATAAAAAAGGAAGAACAAAGTTGTGCACCCAATGTCACATAATGTATAGTTAATTGTTTAAGCTGAAGAACTTTGAATTTTCCAGTGTATAATTCTGTCTCACTAAATCAGCAGCTTCAGTTTGTGTCTATGTACAATCCATATTTTTTATCTTCATCTGCTTAATAAGAATAGTGGCCTTCATCAAACAGTTGATTAAATAAGTACTGTTTTCATCTTGTGGTCATTCTATGGAGATGATCATTTATGGCAGCAAAATTATCAGGGGTGTCACATTTTGAGAGAAGGGAAAGGCTGCTTGTTTGGTTTCATGACAAACATGTTTGAAATTTACGTTATGAAATGTTACATCCACAAGAGACAGCATTAAAGGCTACGAGATACTCATCTAAAAGAGCAACACAATTGCTATGCAAAAAAGGCAGCCAACGTTTGTTATGGTTGTTTCGTTTTTCCTAAGCTCAAGAGATACAGAAACCTTTTCATTGGTCTTCCAAAAACCGTGATTAAATAGCTTACCTGAGCTTTCCTTCTGAGAAAACTTTGTTTGAAAGGCATCATCAGAGAGGGAAAGGCCTTTGTCCTTATAGTCTTCAGCCTCATCTTCAGTGACAATTGTGTCTTAGCTCATTTCAAGATCTTAATGAATAGCAGGAAATACTGGAGGAGATATATCCTGATATAGTTGTCAGTGTGATGCTTTAAAGGTCAGAGCCAGTCTTTGGAATTCTTTCCACAATGAATTGGCAACTAGCTGAGTTCTTCAAAACCCTTGTAAAGTCTTCCCTGAAACTTATGCCAGTAACAAGCTGCAATCTGGACCAGAATGAGTTGATACAGCCAGCCCACAGAACATTATGGATGATATAAATTCATTATCTTTCACACCCCTCCTGTGTCTGCCATTTGTCTGTTCCCTTGCCAATATGTTGTGACTCAGCAGAAGTTTGCTGTGAGTTGAGTCGGGATGCAAGATTAACAATGCAGCTGGGGCTCTTTAGTGTCGTCTTCTGGAGATAAAAGGACGGATGGCGCCACGGCCTGGTTGCAGGAGTCAACGTTCGTCGTTCGTTCATGGTTCATTGTTCATCGGTCGTGGTTTGTTTGTGAGAGACACTTGGATTAGTGATTTGCTTTCTGTAACCCTG